TTTCATATAAAATGCATTTTTGGATGTGTGTGGAATGAGAGCTGTTTCTTGAGGAAGCACGGCATGACGCTTACCCATGGACTGTATGTACAGCGACGATGTTTTCACTACCCTTCAGTCAGTAACGTTAGAAATGGAGAAACATCGATGGTGTTGTCACAATGAAAGAACAGTTTCATACCAAATTATCAGAAAAAAAATGTATCGTTGAGTCTAAGTACAGTGTTTTCCTTAAGGAAAAAAGTCATCAGTATTTAACTGCTGAAGTGGCAAACGCTAAAAGCTCACTGAAGAAGGAACCCCTGCACTACTGATTGCTTAAAAGGGTTTGATGTAATAGTTGTACAACAGAAAAATATAATCTCATAAAGCTGATCGAGGAAAGAAGCAGTACTTTCCAGTATCATGTTTCCGACAGTGAATTGTTTGATGTACTTCAGATGACACATTTCCACATGGGCATGGTGTACATACCAATATGATCAATGAGCTCTCAGTTACTGTAGGTATAAAAATATTACTCCTCATGATATTGAACTGTTTATTCAGCTGTGCGAGTCTCGTCAGCAAAAGCAAGAAAAGGCTATAAAAAGGTTTCGTTGTTCTGAATTAAATTTTTGGTATCAAAACAATCTAATTGATTTTCAAACCCATCCAGATGGTGAATTCAAGTTTTTTTGTACTTTACCAGGACCACCTTACTCATTGAATGATTTATTCCCTTGGTCTTGCAGTCTGACAAAGGAAAAGAGTTTGCTAATATTGAAAATATGATCATGACATGGAAGCAGGAGGGGAAAAATGGACATTGAACTGAAGGTCTAAGATCTGTCTACTTAGAGTGCCTACCATGCTGCTATAAAAAGGTCAACTTATGAAGTTCTTTTTGGCTGTAAAATGAAAGAAGGTTTAAACCTTGAATCTCCCACAAGAAATTTTATAAAATATTGAGAAGCAAGAAGAATTAGAAGAGATTGTTTACTCAACCTATAAATATATTAGTAACAATTTCCCAAGCTCATCTTAAGTCCAACATGTCAACTGAAAAAACATTCTCAAAATGGTGTACATCATGGAAGTATGGAAGGAAGTATGTCATGTGATTTCATGTATCAGGTGTGTTCCAGAGAAACTAGTGGAGGTTATCAGTGTCTTTACTGTGGGCGTCATGCTCATGTTATCTGTGGAGATCATTTTAGTGAGGATGAGAAGGAAGAAGGATTTGGCTCACATGTTTTGTGCCCTCTTACTGTAAACAAACGAACGCTTTTAATGTATGCCAAAGTAAAACTTGAGGGACAAGCAAAGAAAATGAAAAGACAATCTGACATTCCCACCAATTCAGCGAGGTGCAACAGTTTTAATGTTCCTGAGGTTGATAGAGTAAGAGGAGATGCTAACAATGTTTTGCTGTCGTCGTGGATGTGAGAAATCAGTTTTATCAGCTAAGTACAAGACAAGAAAGTTTAAAACAATTGTATGCAAGATCACATTTTATAGAATTACAGAAAGGATACATAGGATTAGAAGACATTCCAGTAGAAATATCTCTCAAATCAGCTTTCTACAGGAACTGGATTTGTTAAGTACGTGTGCAAAAGAAAGTACCTATGCATGACATTTGTTTGTGTGAAAAAGTAGGTACTTTGCAGTTTCAGATGCCATTCTATTTCTGCTGGCTGCAATAAGTAAACTTTTTGCATGTTATAACATACTTTTGTAATCATTTAAATTTTTTAATACAGTTGAGTAAAATATCTTTTTATTTATATACTGACAGCAAATATATATTTTGCATCCATCTTTTTTTATTATGAAAAAGTTGCACACTTTGTTTACTACAACTTTGCCTAAATTAATTTCAGTTTCATGGCCTGTACTGCTAAGTATGAGTTCTTTAATACGTTAACAACAAACAGCATTATGTACATGTTTTTCATTCATACATGTCTTTAAATATGAATGTTATACATTTTGCTTACGTTAAGTATTTTATATAATACCAAGTTCTCAATATAATATGGAAAAAAACATCAGGATTATATAGAATGCCTAGAAATTTCAGACATTGCTAGTTTGTTATAGTTTACCCTTAACAAATATATTCAAATATGAAAGGGGTAAAAAATTAAATGCTACTGCTGCTGGTATAGAAGCCTGAGTCACTGTTACATTTCTGTGCAACTGCTAATTACAGCCGTGTCTGGAATTCCAGGCCCAGCTTGCTAATGGTAATGTACATTTCAAGCAGGCTTGTCCTTAGTAGGGGGGAACAACAGGCAGTGCCATTAATATGCTAGAAGTGAATGATGGAAATGTTGCTTTAGTGCTCATGATAAAAAAATTGCCATGGAAAGGCATCAGGGTCTGCAGAGCTGTGTTTGTCAGCTAATGACCACTTGTGTGCACATCCCATTGATTTCCTTTACAACAGATGGTCTCCTGAAGTGGTCTTAGATACTGTGAGAATATGGTAGCTGACAGTCTCACATACAGTATGTACTGTATCTGGCTATTAAACTACTACACTATACCCTGCTACTAAAGATTATAATGCTTATTCATGACGCTTAATAATTAATTATAGTCTAGTTGTAAGTGAACTGTACAGATAGTAATGTGTGTGCTATGTTATTGGTGAATTCTAAGCTTACAGATCATCACTTCCCTTTCCGTTAATTTTTAAAATTATATTTATTTCCTATAATATCAAATACTGCTATGATGTGATTTTATTAGTAACAATGATGTTTACGGAGTTTCCATGCATACACTAAAAACATTCCAGTCCACAAACCAGTTCCTATATTCCATAATTATTAAAGATCCACACTAAGTATTATTCAGTTTTACTCTAGTGTTGGTGGCAGAGAGACATCTCCAGTCACTGATACATTGTTGGACCTAGTTGGAAATTGGACCACATAGTGTGATTTTCATTACTCATGGTAGAGTCAAGTAGAGGGACAACATTTCAAACATTGCATGAAACTCTCTGTGAAAGAATAGTGATATTTAGAATTAGTCCAACAGCTATTCTTTCACCATGAAAATAAATACAAGCACTTCAAGATAAAGGGAAAATGTAGCTTTTTGCATTAATCACCTCTGCATATGCCCACTTGTTGTACTATTTTGAGATGAATTTGAGATGAAATTCTCGTATTCATTTGGATTTTTTTGTAATATTTTGTAAATGTTTTTATCTTTGGTTAAAAAGAGGTGAATTGTTGTTTTTTGCATCAGAATTAAGTAATTTATTCAACTAAGATGTTATGTTGTTTATCATCCCTAATAAATCTGAAAAAAATACAAACATCAAAACCTAGAAAGTGAATATATTTCAGCCTTGTCATCAGTAAGGAAGGGATCCTTTTATTGTGGACTTTGAGTATCTGTGTAGAATTGTACAGAAACTATATTGTCATATCAACACTACAATTTTAGTCATCTAAATTTTTATTGTTTTGTTTTTTAAATGAAGAACAATTATATTTATGCAGAAAGGAACATTTCCATCACATAGTTTCAAGTCGTTTTTGATGGCTGAGAGTGGGGGGCAAATTTGTTTCTCAATTTTCTTCTAATGCAAATTTATTTTGCGATTAGGGTGAACAAGTATCTGTAAGAACCTTTATCCAGCTGGCATAGTGATGCCTCCTTTAAAATCAATATAGTTACAGTACCATGCTGTTAAATTATTTCCTTCTTGACCATAAAGAGTAATAGCTTTCTTGGTAGTTCTACTATTCAACTTGACCAAGTTGTCTCCAAGTGGAGATTCCTCCTTTACCTTCTATTTGATGGTTTTTTTCTTTTACAAACTTTGCCATACCACAAAAGCCTGCACGGCTGAAAATGCTGGAGCTGTTATAATATAATTTCAGTCTAATTAAAGTATAATTAAAGTATGAATTGTTTTTTACCATTAACTGTAAATGAGCTATAATAAATATTTGACCCCACTAAGCAAACTTTCACTATTTGGTAATTAAGATCTAGTTATGATTAAATTCTATTCCCTTCACACTATCTGGCTGTGTGCTTCACTCGGATGGGTAGTAAAACATTGGTATCCTCCGACATGCAAGTAAGGGGATCATTTGAAAAACTATAGGAACATATTGGGACAGTGCAGGTTGGGAGTAGCTCAATGCCCCTTGTGAGGGGTGGAGGTACTGGTGCAGGTTTAGCAGGAACTAAAAAATAAAAGCAAAAAGAAAAGTGTAATGCTGTGTTTTGTGACCTCCAGTCTTGGCTTACCCTATTTAACAGGGTACAACCAGGGAAAAAGAAGAACTGCTAGCACAGCGGTGACCAGACTGAACTTACCCTATGTAACTGGGCCAGTCTGGTAGAGCAGGGAGCGTAAGGCAAAAACAAAACCTTAATGTATGAAAAAGGTGCGCCTGCCGTGGTGAGAATACTTGATAAAGAAAATGAAAAGAACGCCTTACACAGGTACAATCTCCTCCAGGACTGCCGGTGTAAAAACTCCTCATCCCTGCTGGTTCCTTCATGGAATTAAGTGGGTGAGTGTGTAACGCATATGGAGGACATTACAGGTTGTGCGAGGTGGCTTGCTAGTGTGGTGACATCACCTCCCTTCCCTGTGAACAGCAGGGACCTCAGCTGCTGGGCTGAAAGGAGATCTCCCTTTAGCTCAACTGGTTTGTTCCCTCTTGAGTGATGCAAGAGGCCCAGATTCGAGTTCCCAGCAGTGGGGGGCTGACCTGAGGCAGCACCAGCGAGGGCGCATACCCACGTGAACCCAAAAGCGCTATAATATAAATCATTCTTTAAATGAAAGGGAATTGTTATTGTTATTATTTATTATTATTATTATTATTATTATTATTATTATTATTAGTAGTAGTAGTAGTAGTAGTATTAATAATAATAATAATAATAATAATAATAATAATAATCAGTAAATTGTCTACTTTTAACCATGAAAATGTGTCCCACTCTTTTCATCTTCTGTCTGGTTTCTCCCACAGACCCAGAGTCCCAGAGGAAACGCACTGTACAGAATGTTCTGGATCTGAGACAAAACCTGGAAGATACCATGTCCAGTTTGCGGGGATCACAGCTAAGTCACAGGTTAGCAGAGAATTTTTACATTCCCTGTCAATTTGAGAAACTTGAAAATTTTCCTGAGCCTCCTTTTATAAGACCGTGTACTGTTTACAAAATGAAGGTACATGTAGTGAAAAAGAAAGGAAAGTTTTGGCAGCTTGTATTTTTTAATAAATACAAATGAAAACAAGCAACTCAGGAACCATGGTGTTTGGTGAATGTCATTTTGTTTGCACTGAAAACAAACTTTTATTTTTTGGCCTGAACATGAGAGAGACTACATAGCGAATATAGCAGGGGTTACACACACCTTTTGGTTTTCACTGAAGCTTGGCCTTTTACTTACAGTAAATGATCCAAAAGATTGCTTGGTTGGAGTTTTTGCTATTGTCTTTTTACTTAAAATTTGGTGAGTTTAAGCTAGTTAAGAAATGCAATAGTCACAGTGCTACCTCCTACACCTTAAGGAAATTAAAACAATTAAAGCGTTCAAATTAAACCTATCAGTAGTTCTATCAAAGGTTTGAGTATTTAGTTGGGTGCTCAGATGGAAGTTACAGCATGTGGGTCTCCAGGAAATAGCATAGGGAACCCCTGGACTGTTGGCATTGCTTTCTCTCAGCACTGGGACCCTGGGTTCTGTTCCAGACCTGGGGTACCATCTGCATTAAGCTCTGGATGCATATGTTCACCCCATTTTAAGACATGTTTTCCTCCAGGTGCTCCCACATTCCAAAAACATACAGGTAGGTTAATTGACTTTTGTGAAAATTTGCCCTTAGTGAGTGTGTTTGTCTGTTCTGCAAAGTGACTAGTGTCCCATGTAGGGTGTACCTGCTTTGTGCCCAGTGCTTGTTGATATAGGTTCTGGCTCCCCTATGACCCTGAATTGGGAGAAGAGGATAGAAACTGGATGGATGGATACACAACACATACTATACATATCCTCTTCTTCATTTAACCTTGTTGGATATAGCCATATTTTTCATTTTCATCCAGGGGTTCCCTATGCTATTTCCTGGAGACCCACATTCCTCGGGGAAGCCAGATTTAAATAAATCTTACATTAAAAATGTATATTTAAGCAAAAATAAAAAAGATGAAAAGGCCTTATAGATCACATCACTTTCTTGATTTTAATTCCTTTCCTTTGGGAATTGTGCTTTCAACCACAACCAAATTGAATTTCTTGGTTGACAAAATTCAGCAAAGTTTGAGTTGTACTGTATATTTCTGAAGATGCAATAGAGAGAGGACATGTTGAACACTACATCATTTGTGTTCGAATAAGAATTTGAATGCTACAGTATCTTTCAGTTAGCTTTGTATCAGTAAGGATACAAAAGCTTCAGTACAATAAAATGTCTGGTGCATAGGCTCCATTTTTAGCTCACTCATCACAGCTTTCAGTGGCAAAGTTTACACTGAAACCATATCACATTAATAAAGTCCTTCAGCAGTTAAGTGTTACTTCATGAGAATGAGGCAGCAATGTACACACTGGGACGGCTCCTTTTAACAGCCTGTTGCAGGGCCCCAGGCAAAGCCGAGAGAGAACTTAATGCTTTAGCTGGTCATTAGCTGAGTCATAAAGAACAGATCTAGTATACATCACTCACTAACTGCTTACATTTTATTGTTGTATTCTTCTGCAAATGATTTTCCTGATAAATTACCCCCCTTCTTTTTTATTTGCTCCAAAATCCCAGTTGTAAAATGTTAAATAGGAACTTTACAAGTAAGCCTTTATTTTACTTTTTTTTGGAATATCCTTTAAGAAATAAATTAGTGCTTAGAAATGTACAACTGAAGTAAGGATTCTGTATGCTGAACCAAAATTGTCCCTACAAAGTTTTGTCTAAGATGGCAGTGTTATGTCTGCATCAGCATGTACAGTACAGTAATCAAAGCAGTGATTTACTGCCTTAATTTTCTTATTAGCATCGATACAGATAGCAGAATGCAGGATATATTGAGATAAATGTAATTTGATTTGTAAAGCCATTCTAAATTGTTCATGGCCCAATTATGCTGTCTTCCCTGCTACACATTTCATGCACAGCCTAGAAATGCTTTCAGGGATGGCTGTTAACATTAAAATCTGTCCTGGAAGTCATTGAATTGAACGGTAGGAAAGCTTTAATACAGATACTCTGCAGTGGACGTGCAAGTGACAGATGGAATTTTTATGAGCCATGTTAACCCTAAGAGCTAGGTTTCTGAATACATGCAGTATTACATCCTGTACAATTAATTCAAACACCTAAATATGTTGGTATGGACTTTCAGAAACAGACATCTGACAAAAATTAAACCTTTCGTGAACAAATTGTTAATTTCAAAAGCAAACATAAAACTAATTAAGGAAAAAGAAAATAGATAACAATATTACCTCCCAATGGCATCCCTATCCATGTCACCAGCCACATGATCCCCAAACTATGAAAAATTATAAAGCTGTAATAGAAGCACAGTGCAATAACTCTATGACCACTACAGCAGCAGCACTCAAAGACTCCACCATCCCCTCTGGTACCAGGGATCATGTATGCTGATATAAAGACAGGCTATGATCCAGTGATAATAATAATAATTGCTTACACTTACTGTAAATAGCACTTTTCTGGCCACTCCACTCAAAGCGCTTTACATGTAATGGGGACTATCCTCCCCCACCATTAATTTGCAGCATCCACCTGGATGATGCAATGGCAGCCATAGTGCACCAGAACGCTCAGGACACATCAGCTATTAGTGGGGAGGAGAACAGAGTAATGAAGCCAATTCATAGATTAGGAGGCCATGATTGGTAAGGGCCAATGGGAATTTTGGCCAGGACGCCGAGGTTACACCCCTACTCTTTTCAAGAAATGCCCTGGGATTTTTAATGACCACAGAGAGTTAGCACCACGGATTTACATCTCATCCGAAGGACGGCGCCTTTTTACAGTATAGTGTCCCGGTCACTATACTGGGGCATGAGGACCACCATAGATTGCAGGGTGAGCACCTCCTGCTGGCCCCACTAACACCTCTTCCATTAGCAACCTTAGTTTTTCCCAGGAGGTCTCCCATCCAGGTACTGACTAGGTTCACACCTGCTGAACTTCAGTGGGTTACCGGTTGTGAGTTGCAGGGTGATATGGCTGCTGGCCATATGATACCATATGTGATGCCAGGAGAGGGAATGTGGAGGCTTCCAATGCAGCATCGGCATCATTTAACCATGGTCAGACCAGCTAACCAAATCCATCTCTGCCACTGCAAGAGGCTCGGAGTCATCGTCTAGAGAGCTTCAAATTGGGAATATACATATTTAAAACATGTTAACAGGTGCCCTGCACATCCTCAGGCAGAGTGTATATCCAGGGGTGTAGGAACTAGCTTCATCTGATACTGGTAATGAGGGGTCAGACACTCTGAGAAGAAATTATAAATGTATCATTATATCGTTTTATTAGATAATTTGGAGGCTGAATTTATATTATATCAAATGTTGTCCTAGAAATAGCTTCAGCAGCATGCCCATCTTCCAAACTAACTACTCATTAACAGCTTCCTATGAAGCATTTATTAAAAAAATAAATAAAGTGAGTAAGACAATTTTCTTTGTTGATCATTAGATTTCAAACATATTATGTATTGGGTCAACAACCTTGCTCCAATGATTCCACAGATCTTACTGCATTGCAGAACAGAGAATGACAAAAGAAAGATGTCCCAGGAAGCTCATATTATGATTGGAAAATATTAGCTATTAAAGATATCTGCTACGATATTACTGTAGTTCATTTGTTACTACAATGGCAAAAACTGAAAGAATTACCTGTAAGAAGGATATGTTTACAGAAAATAAGAAAATAGGAATCACATGTTTTCTGTAAATATGTGAACTTTTCTTCTAAATGACATATCATGATTACTTAACTGGCAGTTAATCATTAATCAGTAGGAAAAATACTAATACTAAAACTTTACATGTTTGCTCTTGTAGCAACTGTTGTTGGGGAAATTCAATTCTCTTCTTCTGCTTAACCTTTGCCGAATCAAATGGTAAACTACATTCTAGTGATGAAATCATTCTGGAGCTGGAAGCATCACGTAATAGATGAGAGTTGTCAATTTCGTTTGTTTTATTTCAATTAGTTTGCCATTCTGGGTCAGTGCTCGGCTTCAGATTGAGTCACATCAATTTAAGTCCTGAATGATTTTGGCAAATTGCCTTCCTCAACATTCACAGTCTCCTTCACTTCACAAGCAAACTCTTCTTTCTTGGTTTGTGAGCCCATCTTAAGGCAATTTTCCCAGTTAAATTTAACCATTTCTTCCAGTATGTTGAGGACGTCAACTTTGCGGACGTTTTACATATTCAATGTATAGGAGATTTTATAACACTTTTTTGTCCTTTTGTTTAAAACAAAAATAGAATAAGAAAAATTTTGAATTAAAAAACTAATGCTTGCCAAACCATTTTCCAAAACTGAAAATAGCCTTCACATGCTGCGCAAAAGTATTAAAACAGAAATCTTGTTTAGTCCTAATAGCTCATGTGGATGTGTAGTGACATGGACGTCATTAAATAATCTGTGAGTGGTTTGAATTAATTTCATTGCAGGAAAGCAATCTCAGATTTCTCATTTACATCCTACAGTACATACCTAAAAAACTGCCAACAGGAAGTTATATTGCTAGAAATGATTGCTTTGAAGGGAAAAAGTTTGTTTCTACATTTAGCCTACTTTAGGCAGAGTTAATGTTCCCTAATGGACAGGCCAAGTAATTCATTCACATGATTATTTTTTGTTTAGCAAAAAATGATACGGCATAGATTGCCATTTTAAATATTAAACTGAATTAAATCCATAAAGGAAGTCTTATATAGCCCTTGTTTAGAAATGTTCATCTATCCATTTTCTAACCACTTCATCCAATTCATGGTTGCAGGGGAACAGATACAGACAAATATAGTACCAACATGTTTTTTTTATAATATAATATATACACGTTTTTTGGACTGTGGGAAG